TCAATCAACGTTATCCAACACATCAACAAAAAGAAATATAAAAACCATATGATAATATCAATAGATGCTGAGAAAGCTTTCGACAAAGTGCAACACCCATTCATGATAAAAGCCCTTGAAATTCTTGGGATACAAGGAACATACCTCAACATCATAAAGGCCATCTATGACAAGCCAACAGCCAGTATCATTCTCAATGGTGAAAAGCTGAAAGCAATTCCATTAAGATCTGGAACAAGACAAGGATGTCCACTCTCACCACTGCTTTTCAATATAATACTGGAAGTCCTAGCCAGAGCAATAAGACAAGAGAAAGACATCCAAGGAATCCAAATAGGAAAAGAAGAAGTCAAACTATCACTATTTGCAGATGATATGATAATATACATAGAGAACCCCAAAATCTCCACAGAAAACTAATTCAACTCATCAGTCAGTTCAGTAAAGTGGCAGGATACAAAATCAACACGCAAAAGTCAGTAGCCTTCCTATACACAAACAATAAATCTGAAGAAGAAGAAATCAAAAAAACCACCCCTTTTATTATTGAAACAAAAAAATCAAATATTTGGGAATAAATCTAACAAGAGAGGTAAAGGACCTATACAAAGAAAACTATAAAACACTGTTAAAAGAAATAGAAGAAGACACAAAGAAATGGAAAGACATCCCCTGCTCATGGATTGGAAGAATAAACATTATTAAAATGGCCATCCTACCAAAAGCAATATACAGATTCAATGCTATTCCAATCAAAATCTCAATGGCATTCTTCAAAGAAATAGAACAATTATTGATGAAATTCATATGGAATCACCAAAAACCCCGAATAGCCAAAGCTCTACTGAAAAAAAAAGAAGGAAATGGAGGCATCAAACTCCCAGACTTCAAACTATACTATAAAGCCATAATCATCAAAACTGCATGGTATTGGAACAAGAACAGACATACAGACCAATGGAATCGAATAGAAAATCCAGAAATAAACCCACAGATTTATGGTCAACTAATCTTTGACAAAGGAGCAAAGACTATGCATTGGAGCAAAGAAAATTTGTTCAATAAATGGTGCTGGGAAAACTGGGTCGCTACATGCAAAAGAATGAAGCTTGACCACTACCTCACACCATACACAAAAATCAACTCAAAATGGATTAAAGAACTAGACATAAGACCTGAAACCATAAAATACATAGAAGGAAATATAGGCGAAACACTACGGGATTTGCACATCAAAGACATCTTTACAGACACATCACCCAAAGCAGTGATAGTGAAGAGAAAGATAAACAGCTGGGACTACATCAAATTAAAGAGCTTCTGCACAGCAAAAGAGACAATAACAAAAACAAAGAGAAACCCCACCAACTGGGAGAACATTTTTGCACCCAACACTAATGATAAAGGACTGATCACAAAAATCTGCAAAGAGCTGATGAGACTCAGCAACAACAAAGAAAATAATCCAGTCAAAAAATGGGCAGAAGAGCTAAAAAGAAACTTCTCTGAAGAGGAAATGCAAATGGCCAACAGACATATGAAAAAATGTTCAACATCACTTGCAATCAGGGAAATGCAAATCAAAACTACCATGAGATACCATCTCACACCAGTGAGAATGGCACATATTAAAAAAACTAGCAACAACAAATGTTGGCGAGGATGTGGAGAAAAAGGAACTCTTCTGCACTGTTGGTGGGAGTGCAAACTGGTCCAACCACTATGGAGAGCTGTGTGGAGATTTCTGGACCTACTAAACATAGAGCTTCCATATGATCCAGCAATTCCACTCCTAGGTATTTACCCAAAGGACACAGAAACATCAATTCCAAAGAGCACCTGCACCCCTATGTTTATAGCAGCACTGTTTACAATAGCTAAGCTTTGGAAACAACCCAAATGCCCAAAAGTAGATGACTGGATCAAGAAGATGTGGTACATATATACCATGGAATATTACTCAGCATTCAAAAAAGATAAACACATGCAATTTGCAGCAACATGGATGGCGCTGGAAGGGTTCATGCTCAGCGAAATAAACCAAAAAGAAAAAGAAAAATACCGGATGGTCTCACTCATAGCAGGAATCTAGAAAACTTAAATAAGGGACCAGGAAAATGAATATAAGAAAGTGAAAATCAAAATCAACAAAAAACTATGAACCAGAGACACTTTTTGGGGGGTGGGGGGCGGGAGGGGAAGGATTGGGGTCAGAATGGGGCGTTTGCAATTGTATGGGGGAATATAAAAATAAAATTTAAGATAAAAAAAAAAAAAAAAAGAAATTGCCAGGGAGGATTTTAATCCAGGTATATGAGTGAACAGTCTACTCTCCCTTCTGTCGTTGTCTGAGTGCATGTAGTTCACATCCAGCGTCTTGAAGTGCAGAGAAAGTACATGTGCTATTTTTAGAGAAGTCAGAGATGCAATTTAAAGTCTTCCTGCAGAGCCAGTTTAAGACATATTAATGCTGGGAAAGGTGGAGTCATTCCCACTGCCTGAGATGGTCTGTGTTGTAACTGGTAGTTTTGAGACTTGCAGTTTCCCTTCCGGGTCAACACCACTCAGTGAATCAAAAGTTTATATAACTCCCTCTCCTGAAACTCAGCCATAAAAACAAAAGCCTCCCAAATTGAGAAAGATTATTATGAAACAGAGAATGCTCAAAATCTCCATACTTCAGATTTTAAAGAACCCCATTACCAAAACATTTGGACCCAACTAGAGAATAATACAGTACTGATATCTAGTCCTTCTAATCTATAAATCAAATCATCTAAAAATCAAAATAGCACATTGATTTTTAAATATAATAGAGATGATCAGGTACACTGGAAAATAAGCTCTGGGACGAAAGAGTCCATCTTTATCCCACAGTGTTTCCCTAGTATATAACAATTTCTGGTATGTCGTGGATGCTTAGTAAATACTGGTAGGACAGGGAACCTCTCTGGGATCCATTTCCATAAAGAAAAGCTAATGACAAGCGACCTGGAACTGAAGAAGATCATGGCCATGCCATCTTACAGTTCTCTGTAGCCCAGTTTAGAAACTCATCCTGTTGTGATATCTTCTTTCTCCAGAAGGAATTGGCAGTAGCCCTCTAGAGAAGCTCCTTATCCATAGGGCATTTGTGCGTGTCAGGCTGGAAGTCAGCAGTTATAAAGTGCGGAGGTATTCAGAAACCACATCCTGAAACTGAGATCGCCTGCTCACTCCCTACTGTATTGTACCCCCAACATTAGGCACAAGAACGCTCAGATTACAAGTTACTACTATCCAGATTTGTTGAAAGCATATAGGACAGTAAGATAGTTTCTCCTAATGTCTTAGAAGGAATTGTCATCTTTTGTAAATTTTAATAACATTTTTTATAACTGACTCCCCCAAAGACTTGTGGTGTTATATTGATATTTTAGTAAGTAGAGAATTACTTGAGGCATTAGGAAGTGGGGCCAATCCGGATGAAATAGCGAAGTAGGAGAGGTTTATCTTGGTGTCTTCTCTTCGTCATTCATCTATCAATGATGTGTCTTTTACATTTGGTTTCTTTCTCATCTTTCCATGAAAACTGTTAATAATGTCCAAGGTAGTATAAGGAAAAGAGTTTAATAATTAGTATCATGGATTTCTGAGTCTTTAAGACTGGTGCTTTTAATTAGGCAGTTACTGTCTCTGCTAAGGGTACAAGTTCGTGATGTCATCATCAGAGGTATGAAAATCCAAACTTCATTTAGGTAGGTTAAGCCAAAAAATCTAGAAATAACTGGTGGAGACATGTGGAAACAATTATTGCTGTACCCAACTAGGGGAAGTATTGCTGTACCCAACTTGTGGAAGGCAGTTTGTCAGTAAATTTAAAAGTCCTTGAAAGTAAGAAGCCAATTTTTAACTCTGAAAGTCCAGGCATATGTTCATTTTTCTTTTTTTAATTTTTTTCTTCAAAGATTTATTTTTATTTATACAAGAGCCAGGGTACAGGCCAGATGCGTGGGAGGGTGAGAGGATTCACCAGAGACACAGCAGGGAACAGAACAAGCAGACGGACCAAAGACACTGCTGAGGGGAGCAGCGGGCTCGACAGAAGAGGGCTGCTGCGCCATGTGGGACCCTCGCTGGCTGGGATCGAACCTGCGCTGCAGAGGCTGCGGACAGCTTCCTAGCACTGCGCTCAACCGCCTGCGCCACCAGCAAGGCCCCGGGCATATATTCAGTGAAAGCAATGAGATATGCCATCCTGATACTAATACCTTTCTCTTGCCTTTGTCAGATAGCAACTGTTTTCATTGTCTTACAATCATATATTTTATAATCTTATTTGAGTTTTCTTTTCCTAATACCTGGAATTAAGTCTGAAATTATTCATTTTAGTCCTTTTGTAGAATATTTAAAAAGTCATAAAAATATAAAGGAGGGGAGAAAAAAAAATTGTAACTCCATCACTCAGAGGCAATAATTGCAACATCCTGGAACAGTTTATTCCAGACTGTTTTCCATTTTTAAACATGGATTAGATCATAACAAAGCCTTAGCTCTTAATACTTTTATATGGTATCTTGTCATATTATTGTGTGAACAGATGTCAGCATGCAGTTTACAGTGTGTTCATGGGTCATAATTTATTGAGCTTTCTGCTGTCCTATTGTTGGATACTTGGGTTGTTTATAAATTTTAAATTTTTCTAAATAAGACTGCTATATGTTTTCATGCATGAAACTTTGCTTTGGGAAATTAGAGGCTATACCATATTTTGAGTCTTGTGATTTTATAATTAAATGACTGGTGCAGTTGACATGATATGGAGCTGTATAGAAAGCAAAAGAGAGTTAAAGAGATTGCAAAAACTTTCAACCTAGGACCTTTTATATTTTCTTTTTATTTATACTTATATACTAAAAGAAAGAAATGACTATTTTTCAAAACTTGACTCAAGTTTCCATGTCATTCTTGGCTAGCATAATCACTCTGTTATCCTTTTTTGTATGTTGTTTTTATTAAAGATAATGATGAACCTCTCTTGAGTGGATCTGGTGATGTATCCAAAGAATGTGCCGAAAAAATTCTTGAAACGTGGGGAGAACTGCTGTCAAAATGGTAAGTTATCATAGAACATTTCTTTCATCTGTAATTATCATTTTATGATAAGGAATCTTTACAGTACTCAGTCTTAGAGCCAATGATAGAAACTTAAGTATGAGGTTTCTGTTGCTAGTTTATTTTTACAGGTTTGTAAGGATAGTAATGAAGATCTGAAGCCAAGTAAGGGAAGTGATCCTTTTTCTTGAAGAGGTTAGGAACCCCTGACTCGTTAAGATAATATACAGCAGTTAAAACAGTTAACTAGAGAAGGTTAACTCACAGAAATCTTAGCGCTACAGTCAAGCTCCCAGGTGGGGATTTTTCCTTATCTGTGTTAGGTACCTAGAGTGACAGCAGAGTGTTATGAGGAAGATATATGTTAACTACTCTATAAATTACTTTTCCTGCTAACACTTGTAAGATTCAGGAATTTCTTTCTTTTTTTTTTTTTTTAATAGAGGCATGTTTTATTTATTTATTTGTTTGTTTGTTTTGTTTATACATGCACTGGGTACAGTCAGAAGCGTGGGAGGGTGAGAGAATTCACCAGAGCCAGAGCGGGGAGCAGAGCAGGCAGAAGGACCGAAGTACACTGCTGAGGGGAGCAGCGGGCGGCAGGAGAGGTCTGCGCGCCATGTGGGACCCTCCTCCGGTGGCCAGGGAGCAGCCGGGGATCGAACCGGTGCCGCAGAGGCTGCGGGCAGCTTCGCAACACAGTGCTCAACCGCTGTGCCACCGGGGAGGCCCAGATTCAGGAATTTCTTATTAGCTTAAGAGACAGCTTGAAAACAATATTAAGGAGCAGTATGCCAGAGTGTCTAAAAGAAGTCCGCTACCTTCAGGTAATTGTTAATGGACCCAGAGGCACTCTGGAAAATCAAGTGATGAGACATGTAGTTTTTTCTTTCCCTTTGTAGGATGCTGGAAAAGGCTAAGCTTGAAAACGATCTGAGCTCTTCTTTATTTCTAACTTTGTGGGTATGAGGTTGTCATATAAGCTCCCCATGGGCCTATTACTTTGGGGGTTGATTTTTCTCAGAAATTTTAACTGTTGAGGCCTTTCACTCTATTCTTAGTAAAGTCTATGTTGGCACTTAAGAACAGTTAATGCCCTTAAGGGATAGGACTACAAATGGGCATCATCTGCTGATTGTACTCTCACAATGCTTTTCATTTTTGGTGAAATGCTCTTCACATTGGGAAATGTCAAATATGTACAGGAGGAAAATGCAAACCAAAGCATGGTTTGTCCTTCCACAGTGGTTTTAATATGGGAAAAAAAAAATGCTGAAAGAAAAAAAAACAGGGGAAGAGTTTTCATCTATTTCTGATATTCCTTTAGCAGTCAGGAGACAAGCCTGCTGATGCTCTTGTCACAGTTAAATTTCAGTGCAGTGAGCTTAGAGTGTTTGGACTGCTGCTGGCTGGGTTTCATCTGTAGAAAAAGGTTTCTGCTCTAAAATAGAAATGTAATTGAGTCTTGACTTGGTTATATAATATTATATTTAAAATCATCCAGATACAGCACTTAGACTCTAGAATTAGATTTTATTAGAGGAACTCATTGGCATTTTATACAATTGCTTAGAATTTGTTTTGTTAACCTTTGTTCATTTAACCCATTTAATTAAGTGGTGTCTTCTCTTCTATTCCCTCAGCTATGTTAACTGAGTTTCCATCTGTTTCAGCTGTCTTCAGGGTATTTAAAATTGATTTTGCTTGTTTCAGTATGTCTTTGTTTTTCATCATTATTTATATCTTGCTTAGATAGGAAGCATCATGCTATCAGGAAATTTAAGAGCCTAGTGAAGATGACTTCAATTCCTACTTGTCCTGCTTCCAAGCTTGTATGGTTTGGGGCAAGTCACTTAACTCCTTTGCATTTATTTCTCCATTTAGAAAACACAAGCCTTTAAAACATTCAGGATTATTGTAGTTAAAAATAATGGATGTTGCAGTAGCAATAGCTATAGAATTAATGAATTTATTATAGGACTAGTACTGTGCTAAGTTATATGTTCTATTTCAGCTCTAACAATCTTCAGAACTAGTTTCAATTTTTATTTTATTTTTTTAAGATTTATTTTTTTTTATTTTATTTTTATACAAGAGCTGGGGTACAGGCTAGAGGCGTGGGAGGGTGAGAGGATTCACCAGAGACAGCGGGGAGCAGAACAGGCAGACGGAATGAAAGCACTGTTGAGGGGAGCAGCAGGCGAGACAGGAGAAGTCTGCCGCATCATGTGGGATTCTTGCCTGCGGCCGGGATTGAACCCTCATTGCAGAGGCTGCGGACAGCTTCACAGTGTGGCGCTCAACCCGCTGCACCACCAGGGAGGCCTAAGTTTCAATTTTTATAGACGAGGAAGTTGGCTCAGAGAGATTGTCAGCGATTCTAGTTAGTAAATGACAGGTGCAGAATTTTTAGCACCATCAGGGCCGGCTCCCAGAGCTGACTTGTTTAGCTCTGCATCGGGTCTCAGCATTAGTAGCTAGTAATAGTTCCTTTGAAGTCTTAACTTTCCACATTCATCTTAGTGCAGTTCAGTGGGTAAGAGAGCTAATATCACTATAAAGTTTGCCGAGTTGGATAAAGTTAATATTATCCGTGACGTAAAATTACTCTGAAAATAACTTTACCAATAAAAATTAAGCTAAGATTATCAAATTTTTTCTGCAAAGGGCCAAATGTAAATATTTTAGACTTTGTAAACCAATAGTCTCGTTAGTAATTATTTAGCACTTATATTGTCATGTGAAAGCAGTCATAGACAATATATAAACAAATAAAAATAGTTGTATTTCAGTAAAAGTTGATTTCTAGAAAGAGGTTTTGCACGATAGAAACTTTATCCTCCACAGTCATTCAAAAAGTTTCAAAGTATCATAAAAACTACTGGTATCACTTCAAATATTTATTTTAATTCAGAACATAAAAATACACCCTTCAGTTTTAATGCAGGGCCCCACCCCATATCTTTGGCTGTGTGTCCACTGATTGGAATTTTCTTTTCTCTCTTACATGAACCACAACTATCAAGCTAGGATTTCCAGTTTTGCTTTTTGTTTTTTGTTTTGAAAGGCAATAATTGAAAGATACTTAGGAAGCAGTCTGACTGTAAAATCTAGGTAGACTTTATTCTTTCCTCCACCTAACTTTTTTTTTTTAAAAAAAGATTGCCTTTTTTTTCCCCAAAGATTTATTTATTCAAGAACCAGGCTACAGGCAGATGTGCGGGAGGGTAAGGGGATTCACCAGAGACAGAGCCGGGAACAGAACAGGCAGACTGACTGAAATACACTGCTGAGGGGAGCAGCAGGCATGACAGGAAAGGTCTGCTGCGCCATGTGGGTATCTCCCTGGCTGGCCGGGCTCAAATCTGCACTGCAGAGGCTATGGACAGCTTCACAGCGCTGCGCTCAACTGCCTGCACCACCACTGAGGCCCCCTCCACCTAGTCTTTTAGTTATCTTGGCCACATCTAATTTGAGAGCACTTCATCATTATTATTATTTTGTTTATTAGCACATTACCTTTATGAAGTCATTGTGTATCAATTAAGTTTGGTTTTTACAAAAATAATACACTTCGGGAATCTTTCTTTCACCACTTGAAAATTTTGGCTTTTTTTTCCCCAGGCATCTCAACTTGAGTGTGAGGCCAAAGCAGTTGTCACCCTTGGTGAGGAGTGGTGTTCCCGAAGCACTTCGAGGAGAAGTCTGGCAGCTGCTAGCAGGTTGTCACAACAACGACCACCTGGTAGAAAAATACCGAATCCTCATCACCAAGGTAAGGGGATGACCACCGTACTTCAACGTTAATCCTTTTAGAAATTTGTTTTGAAAAGATCACTGTGCCTATTTGATTTCCAAGAAATTCTTATAATTCTCTTATCTAATATAAGAATACAGCTATGAGGCTTCAAGCCCAGAGTCCTTTCTAATGTTGGCACAAAGGAGAAGGTACAGGTTTTCTCCCCAGCCTGGCCACGCCGCTGGGGCAGAGGGTATTCCTGGCCCCTTGCGTGTCAAAGTTCCTTTCGACCTTAATCACATGATTAGTTAGATCAATTGTGCTGTGCAGTAAGCAAACTTTTTTTTTTGTTGTTCATAACTTTACACATGTCTCATAAATTTGTTCTGTGTAGGTAATGCCTAGTTCTAGTTTCTGCAATTGGAAGAACAGGTTCTTTTATCTAAAACCATATTTCCTTTAAGTTCATTCCCCTAAAATGAGGAATTCTCATTTTTTTATTAGTATCTCCTCAAGTTCAAGTATTCTGCTAGGTTTTTCAAGCAAAACAACAAAAACTTTTATGTATACAAGCACAAATTGGATTTTAAGATTTTGCAAGGTTAGACGATAGTTTGTGCCTTTGTATCCGTGTTTTTGGTTTGAATTCTTGATTTTGTTTTCTTGAATTCTTGAAGTGTTTTTCTTTAGGAAGCAGTTTCTCCAATGATATGTAAATCTCAAACTTGGTTAGTGGATTGTTCAGAGCCCTCAATCAAATGAGCTAGGAGGTCAAATACAAAGCAATTAGCTGGCGTAAATTAGAACTGCCTTGTGATAATCTGGCAAAGCATAGTGGGAACCATCTAAAAGAGAGATTGATTCAGCCTGGGAGAGCAGGAGAGTCTGTACCAGGAATATAACTTTTTTGTGGTTTTACTTTTAAAGTTTTATTTTTATTTATGCATACAACAACTGAGGTGTAGACCAGAGGTGTCGGGGGTGAGAGGATTCACCAGAGACCAAATAGGGAGCAGAACAGGCAGACGACAGAAATATACTGCTGAGGGGAGCAGCAGGTGAGACTGGAGAGGTCTGCTATGCCATGTGGGTCACCTCCCTGGCTGGGGTTGAACTCATGCAGCTGTGGCTGTCGATAGCTTGATAGCGCTGAGACATTAACCCCTGCTCACCAGGCAGGCCCCAAGAATAAAACTTTTAAGACAGATTGAAGAAAAGAGTTCCCTGGGGCATGGAAAGGTGGAGGAGCGTTGTCCTGTAGTGTGACTGAAGCTGTGTAAGAAAGAAGATGTGTGACATGTACAGCTGGCAAAGGCACACCTAGTTGATTTTTTTCCTTTGGTTGGCAGTTCATATTGTGGATATATAATTCTTAGTTTTTACTCTAACTTTCTAGTTCCTCTTTTAAAGTCCTTTGAAATGTTTGGTTAAAAATGATTTCTTAGGGATAATTGGTCTGGCTTGTCATACAGGTAATTTAAAGACATGAGTTTTATTTTTATGGTTTCATGGAAGTTGTGACATCTATTTTTCAAATAGGAACATCTTAGTTATATAGTGTATAAAAAGATCAGTTGTTTTGTTATATGTTATGTATTTCACATTTATTGTACAGATGACTAGAATCTGAAAAGATGTTTCCTTTTTTCGATTTCAGCTTTTTGCATAAAGCTCCCTATGAGTTGCTTAGCAAGTGCTAAGGTATGAATGTTTGTGACCTTCAGAATTCATATTCTGAAACCTTACCTCTAAGGTGATGCTATTAGGCAGTGAGTGGGGTCTTTGGAAAGTGAATAGGTCATAAGAACAGATAAGGATTAGTGCCCTTATAAAAGGGCTCCAGAGAGCTCCTTTGCCCCTTCCCACCATGGGAGGATACAGAGGCAGCCTCTGTCCTAGAAGGGACCCCGACCCATCTCCGAATCATGAGCAGTAAATTCCTGTCGTTCATAAGCCATGTCATCTGTGGGATTTTTAACTGCAACCTGAACAGACAGCAGGATTTATATACATTATTATACATATGTGGACAATAACATTTATATCTATAGATATCTAGAAGTTATTTATTCTGGACATGAGTTCTTTGCCAGATACATGCTTGATGTTCTGAAATTTCACATGTAATATTTGCCTTAGAGCCTTAGAGGTTTTATTTTTTTGTTGTTTTATTTTTTGCTTAGCGTCTTCAAAGACTAAATTTATTTTTAAGTTTTTTTTTTAGATTTATTTATTTATTTATACAAGCACTAGGTATAGTCAGAAGTGCGGGAGGGTGAGAGAATTCACCAGAGCCAGAGTGGAGAGCAGAGCAGGCAGACACTGCAGAGGGGAGCAGCGGGCGGCAGGAGAGGTCTGCGCGCCATGTGGGACCCTCGCCTGGTGGTCAGGGATCAAACTGGCGCTGCAGAGGCTGCGGGCAGCTTTGCATCCCAGTGCTCAACCGCTGCGCCACCGGGGAGGCCCCTAAATTTATTTTTTTAAAAGATTTATTTATGCATACAAAAACTACGGTACAGGCCAGAGGTGTGGGGGGGTGAGAGGATTTACCAGAGACAGAGTGGGAAACAGAACAGGCAGATTGACTAAAGTACACTGCTGAGGGGAGCAGTGGGTGAGTCAGGAGAGGTCTGCTGCGCCATGTGCATATCTCCCTGGCCGGGAATCGAACTCATGCTGCAGTGGCTGCAGATTGATTCATAGGTTGCGTCTTATCCCTTGCGCCACCAGGGAGGCCCCAAAGTCTGAATTTAAAACAGGAAAGAATGAATTGACTTATAGTATAAAGGTCAAAAAATTAAATGATGGCTGCTTATGTCATTGTCTTGCTTTGTCAAGCCTGTCTTGTAAAGGTTATACTGGAGGAATTTTTCCATGTGTCTTTTTATAATTTAGGGACAACCTTTCAGTAATATAAAATACATTGTTTTTATGGTATTGTTTATTTCTATAAGCGATGGAGTTCAAAGGCATTTTTCTCCCTGTTCTTTTTTTAAGTGAAAATTTTTTGTATCTAGAGGGAAAAAATACAACATAATAATTGCATTTTTAAAGCACATATAATATGGGTCAAATGCTATACCAAGCACTTTATTTCTATTACCTCATTCTAAGAAAATCCTTGAGAAGTGGTAATTATTATTTCCATTATATAAATGAAGAAGCAGGTTCAGTGAAGCTTAGTAATTTGATTCTAATCACTCAGCCAGTAATTATAGAAGCAGGATTTATAAAACTGACTCCAAAACTGTTCTGTTCTTTTTCTTCCTTCTGTTTTCCTATCTGTTCCACTACCTACTTCCAACCTGCCTGTCCTTGAACTTAAATAAAAATTTCTTTATATAGACATGCGCTCATGTAATTCCTGTAAACACGTAAGTGTAGTTATATATTTTTGTTTTCAAGGGTGATTTCTTCCTCAGCCATTATTCTGTAGGTGGGCATTTACTTTGTTTCTGATTTTTATTTTATTTTATTTTTTTATTTTATTTTTTTATTTATTTATTTGTTTGTCTGTCTGTTTGTTTTTGTTTTTATACATGCACTGGGTCCAGTCAGAAGCGCGGGAGGGTGAGAGAATTCACCAGAGCCAGAGCAGGGAGCAGAGCAGGCAGAAGGACTGAAGTACACTGCTGAGGGGAGCAGTGGGCGGCAGGAGAGGTCTGAGCGCCATGTGGGACCCTCCTCCGGTGGCCGGGGAGCTGCCGGGGATCGAACCGGCGCCACAGAGGCCGCGGGCAGCTTCGCAACCCACCGGGGAGGCCCTGTTTCTGATTTTTAACCTCTAGTGTTTGACTAAACATCCTTACACATGTTTTAAATCTCGTACTTCGGTGGCATAGAATCTGTCTTCAGTGTGATTGCTGGATCAAAGAGTAATTTCTTTCTTAAACTGATTATTTAATTTTCAATTTTAATTTGGTCACATCCACTTTTCTTCTTCAAAAGGCTGTAACAGTTCACATTTCCGCTGGCAGTGTGGCAAAGTACCTGTTGACTTATATCCCAGACAGCACTAAACACACTGTTAATGTTGCTGTCCGTGCCTGGAGTGCAACCGTATCCTCAGTGCGCAGTTCCTGTCTGGTGTCCTCCTGTGAATTACCTCTTCACATACCGTTCGTGTTTTTCTATAAGTCTTTCTAACATGTCAGTTTTTAGGGCACTCTCTCTAGATCATGTATATTAGTCCTTTTTATCTTATTTATAAATGTCTTTCTAAAATGTGAATTTTATTGACTTTATAGTTTCATGGCATACAAAGTGTTCTCAGTTTTTATGTAGAAAATTGTATAAAAGTCTCTCCAACCTCTAAATTTTGTAAATGTGGTCTCCCAGATTTTCTTGCAACATTTTTATTATATGTGTTATATTTTATGTCTTTAATCCATCTGGAATTTATTTTTGTACATGTCATGAGACGGCAGTTCAATTTTACTTTCTCCCAGATGGATAAGCAGTTGTGCTACTCCTAATTTCTTACTAAATAGAACTACCATCTTTGTTATTTCTCCTATTCTCATGTATACTGGGGTTAATTTCTAGATTGTTTTGTTTATTAATCTGTTAGTTATGTTCTGATAGCTGGTGAAGCAAGGCTTTTTTCAGTTCCCTCTTTCATGATTTTCTTATCCTTGAGTATTTAATCTTCCATACATACCTTAAAATCATTTTCTCCAATCTTTTTTAATAGTTCTTTAAGTTCTATAAGCATTCTAATTTTAATGGTATTTAATTTATTTGCATAATAATTAGGGTATAAGCTACATTGTTATATATTCATAGCTAGGAATACTGTGTGTGTGTGTGTGTGTGTGTGTGTGTGTGTGTGAGAGAGAGAGAGAGAGAGAGAGAGAGAGAGAGAGAGAGAGAGAGGGTGGAGAGAACTGGGGGGTAGCTCAGAGGTACTTGGAGTAAGAGGATTCACCAGAAACAGAGTGGGGAGCAAAATGGGCAGATTTACTGAAATATACTGCTAAGGGGAGAGTGGGCGAGACAGCAGAGGTCTGCTGTGCCCTATGTGAGTTAGCTCCCTGGCTAACTCAGGCCACATGGTGATAATGCTGAGACTTACTAACCCCTAGGCCACCAGGGAGGCCCCTCTTATTTTATGACTTTTGAGTTACCTTCATATATGTCTTGTGTTCAGTTTATTCTAAAAGTTGTTATTTTTGCCTGCAAATTGCCTATTGTTTTCTGATTTCCATTATTTAAATGCTAATTGCTACAGTAAAGAAAAGACAGATTTTTTTTTAAATTATCCATCTACCATTTGATATTTTGAATTATCCCTTAATTTTATGCTAGCATATTATAGAAATTTCAGGTGTACAGTGAAATTAGCAGGAGAAATTTTTATTTCTTTTTTCCAGGCTACTAATTTTTCTTGGGTTTGTTCTTACATTTGTTGGCAGCATCAAGATGGTGTTAAGTGATGATGGTGATAACTAGCTTTCCTATCTAGTTCTTGATTTGTAACTAAAATGGTTTTAGTTTTTCATTCTTTTTTGAAAGTGTGCTTTTTTTAATAAATAATTTTTATTTCAGTGATTTTTTTTTTCCTCTCACTTTGAGTTTTTATTAGGAATATCTGGCTGACTTTTATTAAGAGCTTTTTCAATACTCAGTGAATATGATTTTCTCTAAGCTGTTGTTAGAGTATATATGTAAGATAATAACATGTGATAGACATCTTGGAGTGAACTACCCTTGGCTTCATGGAATGAGTTTCTATAACCAAGCATTCCCAGATTCTTTTTTTCGCCATTTCTGGTCTTTGACCAAGAGCTTCTCAAACATGGTCTCTAGATGGAAATTGTGAGACAGGCACAGGGAGAGAAGTTAATTGAGTAATCCACAGGGACTCTCCTAGTGTCTCTTACTCCTAGTTATAAGGCTTACAGCTGTATGGGTCTGATAAGTCAGAAAAATTAGAGAATGAGGGGAACAGTAGGTACTTTCTGGTCTCAGCTTTCAGAATCATTCTTTGGCCCTTTTTTTTGGGTTACTTTTCACTTTTTATGTCAATAACTCTGTTCCTTTTATTCACTGCTTAGCAGCAAAATTTTACATCAAAACTGTTGCACAACAGAAGCTTTAATGAGAAAATAATGAAATAGCAACATATTCTAATGTTTCTCTGATCTGGAAAAAATAATTAAATATCTAATAATTTCAACATTAGGCAGATTTTTTTAAAGATTTATTTTTTTTATTTATGCATACAAGAACTGTAGGTTAGAGGTGCAGGGGGTGAGAGGATCCACCAGAGACCCAGTAGGGAGGAGAACAGACAGATGGATTGAAATACAATGCTGAGGGGAGCAGCGGGTGAGACTGGAGAGGTCTGTTGCGCCATGTGGGTAGCTCCCTGGCTGGGGATGGAACTCATGACACAGAGGCTGTGGATAGCTTCATAGTGCTGAGACTTAACCCCTTGCACCACCAGGGAGGCCCTAAGCAGACTTTTAATTAAAAATCTTTCTCAGATAAATTTGGTAACAGTCAGGAATTCAGTATTTAATCACCCGCCTGTGGATACCAAACCAAGAAAGGTGTCAGTTTAGCAAAAAGCACTGACCATGAAGTTAGGAAATCTATATACAGGTTTTAGCTCTGCCGCTCTCTGATGTGAACTTAAATGAGGCTCTGCATCGGTGATCATTCTTTTCCTCTTCTGAAATGAGAAATGAAGTTGCTGAAGTAAATGGCTTTAACATTCTGAAAATTAAGTAATGTGTTTAAGTTCTGCCCCTCCCCCTGATGATTCTACTGTTTAACAACTGAGACCTCTTGCTATTTAATTCCACAAGAATGTAGGTTGTGAGCAGTTTCTGCTATAGACTGAATGTTTGTGTCCCTACAAAATTAAAATTAAAATCGTAACCACCCAATGTGAAGGCATCTGTAGGTAGGGCATTGATTAAGTCAAGAGAGGGTGTCACCTTTATGAATGAGGTTAGTGGACTTATAAAAAAAGTCCTTCCCACCATGTGAGGATATAGTGAAAGATGACTCCAGAACTCTGAGAAGAAATCTCTTGTTTTATAAATCATTTTAACTATGTGGTTTTTGTTTTAGCAACCCTAACAAAGAAAAGCTTCCGTCTAATTGTTGGTTGTGAAAGTAATTTTGAGTCCCCATGTCCCATATCTATAAAGTCACATCCCCTGTAGCGAGTTTCTGAAGTCAGATAGCCCCAGGGGCTCTGAAGGTTTCCTGAATTATAAAAACTGGAAACCACAATCAGCTTAATCATTAAAATTGCTGTTTGCCTTTGTGTATTAAGCACAATGCTTCATATCTTAAAAGGTAATTAATTGAATTCTGATTATTGCTTACAATGAGAAAGCATTTGTATGAAACAAAAAAAAAGAGAAAGAAAGTTGGATCATGTCACATGTCTCCTTCCCCCAGGTGTGCAGAACTCCCAGAATACTTACAAAGGCCAACATTTGTTTATTTTTCTTGTACTCTGCTGGATATGTGGAACTTTTTTCAGAACGAATTGAGAATCCTAAGACACCTTAGGACGAAAGAATACACACTTTCTAATTATCCAAAAATTGTCATAATTTATGACATTATCAAAAGAGCCCCAAATAATCCCAGTTTGCATTGTCTTAAGTAGGCAAAGACAAGGCTGTGTGTTCTGAGACACAAAGGTGAATTTGTATATGAAACTTCCTGTAATTTTCCAACTTGGGTGGAAGTGGGTACATTTACTTTTCATCTTTTGTTTGTATAATTGTGTGCTGCTTCTCAGAAACTAGAAACAAGAAATGGCATCTCAGAACTATAGGATGGTGTCAAGTATGGGAACAATGAAATTCCTCTTAGCTCTGTGTGCTATTTCTGCCATATACAGAAAGTATGGGATTTTCTTTATTTTTCTCTTGAAAAGGGGCTCTCTCAGTTTGCTTGTCATTTTGGTCATTTCTTCGATACTGGCCAGTATCTGGGGAATCATAAGAGAAAATAATGCTGAATATTTAGTCTTACAGCTAGAACTTCTCTTGCAGCTGAATTATGATACCCCAGATGCCTTGCACTGTTAATTTACTTTTACTCTTTGACATTGCTCTTTGTTCCTTAGAAAATGCTACAAGAAAATGGGAGTTTTTCACCATTACCCTTCTCGCAGCGTGTTTCAGGCTGGCATTCTGTCCTGGTTACTACCCTTTATCCTGTCTCATTTCTGCTCCTCTACTAAAAGGGGGATTCCAGACAGACGAGAGGAACAACTTTTAGATGCTATACTGCAGGCATATTAAGTTATTCCCCCACCGTGCAGTCTGGAAATCAGGGAGCACTTCTCTGGCGCTGCATTCTAATGAGCTGCTGAAGATGCCAGAGTGTGTGCGTGCACTGGCGTTTCTTTCCCCTCCTCCCTTTCTTCCTTTTTCCAAGCCCCCTCTTTTCCCTATTTCCCCTCCTACTCCTTTATCCCCTCCCTCTGTGTCTCAGTTCTGCAGTAAACGGGGCTGAGGCACATTCCTGCTTTGCAAGGCTTTCTGTTGAGGATGTTTTGTGGCTTTTGTTTGGATTGCAGCATGCAGAATTACAGGTAACATTGAAATTGGGCTAGACAGATAAATTCTGTTGTAATGTTTTCAAAGAGGCAAAATATTAAATTAGAATCAGAAAATAAGTTATCTCAGTTAATTTTGTTAGTAGTAGTAATTATAGTCAAATGTTTTCAGAAATGCAACAGCAGATTCTTTTTCTCCCCCAAAAGGCTCAAATGAAAGGGAGCGGGAATAGACTGAGCTGATTGCGATTGATTTTGTTTTATGTTTATTGTGAAAGCTTGATGTTGTGGCGGGTGCCTCTGTAGAGTAAGGACCAGTGTGTGGGGTGCTCCTGGGGGTAGCTATGAATAGTTCTGTTGGGTGCAATGGGATGGAGTAGGAGGGGTGGTACCAGCCTGAGCTAGCCAGGGTCTTTGATTAGGGCATTGGATGCAAAATGTAAAATGCTCTCTCCTTTTCTTCTATCAGCTGTTCAGAGGAGACTCATTACAACTCCTGCTGAAGCTCCTAATCTTCCTCCCTTCTCTTCTGCCCCTAATCCTTATCCTCATTGGCCTGAAGACATTGTACCCAGAGTTTGCCTTAACCCCCTGGTGCTATGTGTATGGTAAACCTGGTACTGTGGCCTCATCTGGGACTGGCCAGACAACTGCTGCTGGCTCTCCCTATTCCAAGGAGGATTTAAAGGGGAATTGCACTACAGGCAATGCACCAGAGCAGCAGCTTCAGGAGCTTGGGGACTAAGGCTTCTCTGGCATTACCACACACACACAAAGCTGACCGCAATGACAGCCGCTGCTCCTTTGAACTGTTGGTAGCAGCCAAGCGGCAGCATGAAGTGAGAGATCACTCCTGAGCTCAAGATGAACTCCACCTTGGATGGTAATCAGAGCAGCCACCCTTTTTGCCTCTTGGCATTTGACTATTTGGAAACTGTCAATTTTTGCCTTTTGGAAGTGTTGATTATTGTTTTTCTAACTGTATTGATCATTTCTGGCAACATCATTGTGATTTTTGTGTTCCACTGTGCACCTTTGTTAAATCACCACACTACAAGTTATTTTATCCAGACTATGGCCTATGCTGACCTCTTGGTGGGGGTCAGCTGCCTGGTCCCTTCTTTGTCACTCCTCCACTACCCACTTCCAGTAGAGGAGTCTTTGACTTGTCAGGCTTTTGGCTTTGTAGTATCAGTTCTGAAGAGTGTCTCCATGGCCTCTCTGGCCTGTATCAGCATCGATAGATACATCGCCGTCACTAAACCTTTAACCTATAACACTCTGGTCACACCCTGGAGACTGCGCCTGTGTATTTTCCTGATTTGGCTATACTCCACCCTGGTCTTCCTACCTTCCTTTTTCTACTGGGGCAAGCCTGGATATCATGGAGATGTGTTTCAGTGGTGTGCTGAGTCCTGGCACACCAACCCCTACTTCACCCTGTTCATCGTGATGATGTTGTATGCCCCGGCCGCCCTTATTGTGTGCTTCACCTATTTCAACATCTTCCGCATCTGCCAACAACATACAAAGGAAATCAGCGAAAGGCAAGCCCGCTTCGGCAGCCAGAGTGGGGAGACTGGGGAGGTGCAGGCCTGTCCCGATAAGCGTTATGCCATGGTCCTGTTCCGAATTACTAGTGTATTTTACATCCTCTGGTTGCCGTACATCATCTATTTCTTATTGGAGAGCTCCACTGGCCACAGCAACCGCTTTGCATCCTTCTTGACCACCTGGCTTGCTATTAGTAACAGTTTCTGCAACTGTGTCATTTATAGTCTCTCCAACAGTGTCTTCCAAAGGGGACTGAAACACCTCTCAGGGGCCATGTGTACTTCCTGTGCAAGTGAGACCATAGGCAAAGATCCTTACACAGTTAGGAGCAAAGGCAACCTTAACGGATGCCACATCTGAAGGGGTTCAGATATTGGGTCACTGTCTGTCATGTGATCCAATGTGTCTTCTTATCTCTTTGTATTCCCAGGTCAGTAGGAAATCTGGGACAAAATAATTTGAATGCAAGCAATAGCAAACAAATGATCCATCCAAAATGTCTTCTAAGTTTGCAGAAATGATTTTCTGAAAAGTGCTTTTAAGTCAGAAGTATCAGGACCATGAAGATAAATTGCTCTTGGTTCAAATTTTTGTAATGTCATGGAAATGACTACAGTTCTCACATTTAAAATGAATAAAGCCATATCTAACACCTCTCTCCAGCTGGCATGACAGAACCTGGGTGTGAAGACCGTCAGCGTTTTTAAAAGTCATAGTTTTCTTGACATTTTTCTGGGTTCTTTCCAGCTGTTTGGGCTTCATGTGCAATTGATTTAACAGGAAATATTCAAATATGCAGTGAATTAACAGGGTTATAAAATCGTGTGTGTGCCAAAGTTAACTACACTGAAAGTTTTAACACTGTCATTTAGAAAGCCAAATGTTTTATGTCTTATTCTCTTGAGAGAATTCTCTACAGTGAATAATGTGAACACTTAAACATTAATTTTAAAACTTTGCAATGAAGCAAAAGTGCAGCAAAACTATGAAAAACTGGGCTACTTTTTGTGCTATGCTTCACAGAGATCTAAAGAAATGTGTACATAAGAAGTGCTTGTGTTGCAGTAATTTTGCCTTTGTATGTGTATATTTAGAGTATTTGAACTAGATTTCTCTTTTACAGCAAAATGTGTTTTAATAAGCTTAAAATAATCATAATATTGGCTGCCATTTTTATAGTGATGAAATTATGTAAAAGTATGTCATTAGTCTTTCCTGTTCTTTTTATCCAAAGACTTTTGAAATATTAGAATATCAGGGAGAAAGGTGTTCTAAGGAACTAAGTCAGAAAATATACCATACCTTTAGTTAAATTTTTAAAAAGCAGGGGGCTAATTGAGATGTTCTTTTTGTGTTTTACAGAATCAAGTAATAAAGTAGCTAATAATTTTTAAAAACATTAGTTATTGTTAAGGGATTCAGACTGGCATGAGGAAGGGAGAAAATCTGATAATTTGATCTCTTATTACTTTTCTCTTTCTGGAAAAGAATTTTGTGGAATACAGTTCTTTCCTTATTGTTTGGTGGTGGTTTGTTTTTTCTTTAAGCCACAGGTCTAGCAAAATCTATAGGAATTTATTATTGTTATTCTATAGAATTACGAACTGATAACACTGTGTGTTTGAGTGTAGTCGTGATGTTTTGTTCTTAAAAGTAATTATCTTTAGGGCAAGAGATTTATTTTTCTAAAGGAAGGAAGCTTTCTCAGCAGCTCCAGGCAGGAGAGTATTTCCTCTGCTATTCTACTGGTTTTAATGTTTTGGATGTCTTCAGGGGACTGACTTGATCTCTGCCTTCAGCTTGGTGTTGTAATCTGAATTTGACACTGGTGTTCAGGGAGATGGGAGAGGCCAAAGGACGCGAGCAGGTCGATTTTTGAATCCCAGAAAGGACTTGGATATTTATAAAACAGGCAGTTATGCTTCGGTTTTACATCATAATATTGGAAAACCTCCTCCCCCATTTTAAAATAAAGGGCAGCATTCTTAAGATTTTAGGCTTTAAGATACTGATTTCATTTAAACCTCAGATGTCTTCTACTTAAATTTGTTTTTAAGTACGCGTTGTATAAACATTTCAACCTCAGGTTCTACGTTCTTTCCCAAAACATGTTTGCTCTTATATTTAGTATTAGAAGATTTAATTCTAAGCTGCTTCAAAATTTAGAGTTCATTGCAATGCAACTTACATTAGCAATGACTCTGTTGAATTGCTTTCTCAAGTGGAAAGCCTTTTCTGTTGGATTCTGAAAAATAGATGTACACATTTCCCCTTTATTGAAGTGGCATACATCTTAAAAAACAGTATTTCCTTTATTATCGTGTATGTTGAAGAGTGTAACCTATTCAAATCTGTATGGTACGCTTGTGAATTTTTAGCTCAACAGACAGAGGAATCTTAAATACTTCATTTTTTATAAGGAACTGGTGTTAAATCCATGGATTTTACTTTGGGAGAGGGGCTGAGCCCTTTTAATATTTTCCTGAAATAGCAATGGAAAATAGAAAATAAGTTTAATTTTCTAGAAATGGCTGTTAAGCTGGTCTTTTAATGACTGGAAAGATTCAACTTTTAATAAGTGCTTTTGTTAATAGATTTTTGTCCTAATGCTAGATTCAGATGATATAAGAATCTCTATGTCTCAGTCTAAAACTAAAGTAGAAACTAAGTAGATGTAGTCATTTTAGAGAAAAACATCCCCTCCCTTAATATCACTGTCTTTCCAGTTTATCTTGCTTCATTGGAGTATATAAACTGTTTCTCCCAGGTACAAATTCTGTTCTCACGTTCACTGCTTTTTTATTTTTATTTCCAGTGTGGGTGCATGTTGGAAATAATTCTCTAACCTTCAGAGATGGGGGAGATGTTTCTATATGATCCATTTGGAGAGCTGTGTTTAAGCAACCTTTTCATGCTGGCATATTTAATGCAACATTTGTTGATATTTGGTTTAAATACCAGTCTGACTAGAATGAGGAAAAAAAGTATATTTTTAGTATCAGTTACCTTGGGCTTTTGCAAGACAGTGCATTTAACTTTATATGGCATACAATCAGAGGAAGAAGAACCTTTGAGAAGTTTTGTTGAAATTATTTAATAGTGGGCCTCCCTGGTGGCGCAGGGCTTTAAGTCTCAGCGCTATCAAGCTATTGCCAACCACTGTGGCCTGAGTTCAATCCCCGGCCAGGAAGGTCACCCACATGGCTCAGCAGACCTATCTCACCCGCTGCTCCCCTCAGCAGTGTATTTCAGTAGCTCTGCCTGTTCTGCTCCCCACTTTGTCTCTGGTGAATCCTCTCACCCCTCACACCTCTGGCCTACACCTCAGTTCTTATATGCATGAATAAATAAAAATAAATCTTAAAAAAAAAGAAATTATTTAATAGTGAATTTTAAAGTAAGAGTATACTAATCATATTTGTAAATTATTTGTGTGTTTTTATACAGTGATTTCAGTGAGGGTATGTTTTTTTTCCTCTTAGAGTGGAAAAGCAATTATAAAAGGACAAGTGTACCTCCACTTTAATGAAAGAACAACCCCCCCACCAGAATGAGTGTTTTGATTTTGATGAGCCTATTGGCTCTTAACCTAAATTCCATTTGGAAAGGGTTTTCTTTAAGCTTTATTGCTAGTTAATCCTTTTTTGAACCTTTTATAATGGCTTTTCCTTTTTACTTGAATAATAATTTCAGTGTTTTAAGGATTGGGAAAACTTGAATTTTTGTACCATAAATGCATTGTTCACATTTTTAAACTTGAAAATGAAGCAACAGGGTTACAGGCTCCCAGATAGTGGAGTGGGTTCTGGGAGAGGTTCCTCAGCTTTTCAGGTTTGAATGAAAAATCTGCACAACTTTTTAGGAAATATTTTAATTTCACTGTGTTTTTGTATTATTAAAAAATTGTGAAATAAATTATTGGCAAACCAGAATTCATTGTATATGAACAGATTTGCGGATGCTTAAAGGAATAGAGAATCATGGTCACTATGAGACTTGTTTAAAGTCTTCATAAATCATTCAGTGTATTGATTTTTGCATAGTTTCTCTGTTTCAAGAAAAACCAAATCTTTTCTATTAAATGTACATGTTATTGATATATTTGTAACATATTAATCTGGGGATACTCTAGACATGTCTCAAGGCTCTAAATTAGCTGCTTGACTTTCCTCAAAATTTAGGGGAGAGGGTATCAGGAAATGATTAAAATGATGTTTAAATTGCAAATCAGAAATTTAGGTTTCTGTTACTAATTAACTAGTAAGGGCAAGTAACTTCTCTAAATGCTTAATTCTTCTATAAAAGGAGACTACCAGCCCTTTTTCCTTCTTAGGGGATTGAATTAGATAACAGATGTAAAAGTTCTTTTCTGTTGACTGTTAACATTCTGTCTTATTACCCTACCCACCTTGTACAACGAAGATACTGGCTCTACTATTGTATCTGCCATGGTTTTACCTCTCAGGAAGTCATACATAATGATGTGACCTTATCCCACATTCAGATCTTTGCAGCTCAATGCCGGGTGGCAATTTCATGCTACTGAGCAGTCCCAAATTTGAGAAAAGAGGCATGATAAAGCCTCACCTTTCTAAAACGACAGTAAAACGTAAGTTGTTCATTTTAACTGCTTTACTTGCATCCCATACTTGTCTGCAAACTCTGAAGACAGGGACAGGATCTCTTCATATCTTTATCTCAAGAATCTAACACTGGCTTAGAGCAGAAGTTTTACAGACTGAATGAATGAATGATCCTTTCTAAGGAAAGAGGAGTGACAGACTAGTTTGATTAAATCGTTCTACCTCTCTGTTTCTGCTTTGTCTCCCATTTATTTAGTCTTGAGCAGTTTTCTAACTCCATCTTCCTTTCTTTTAACATGCTCTGTATTTGAGGGTGTGGGGAATTGCATTTATGTAATAGCAGTGGTTTTTAGGGAAAGTTTAAGATGTAATGATGAAGCACTTATACTGCTCGCCCTGCTGTATATCAGACAGTGGGGTTAGCTGGCTTCAGAGAGGGCTGGAGAGAAGGATCACGATATTCCTTTCTTTTTTTTTCTTTTTTTTTTTAAATTTTTTTTTTTTTATATAGAGGCATGTTTTCTTTCTTTCTTTATTTGTTTGTTTTTGTTTATACATGCACTGGGTACAGTCAGAAGCGCGGGAGGGTGAGAGAATTCACCAGAGCCAGAGCGGAGAACAGAGCAGGCAGAAGGACCAAAGTACACTGCTGAGGGGAGCAGCGGGCGGCAGGAGAGGTCTGCGCGCCATGTGGGACCCTCCTCCGGTGGCCGGGGAGCAGCCGGGGATCGAACCGGCGCCGCAGAGGCCGCGGGCAGCTTCGCAACCCAGCGCTCAACCGCTGCACCACTTGGGAGGCCCACGATATTCCTTTCTTGTAGAACTTTGTCGTTTTTAGGTGTTTCATATGGAAAAATTCTGTGACTGTCTTTTCTGAAACCTCATAGAGTGATGGCTGGAGGAATTTGCCAAGGCCAAGTGGTGGGATGGTTGGTATTGTGGATCTTTTTCTTGGGGTGAGCTCTCATGATGCCAGTGTACAACATCATAGTGTCAGTTTATTAGTTTAAAATAAGAAATAGATGTTAGGGCCTCCCCGGTGGCGCAGCGGTTGAGCGCTGGGTTGCAAAGCTGACCGCAGTCTCCGCAGCGCCGGTTCGATCCCCGGCTGCTCCCCGGCCACCAGAGGAGGGTCCCACATGGCGCGCAGACCTCTCCTGCCGCCCGCTGCTCCCCTCAGCAGTGTACTTCGGTCCTTCTGCCTGCTCTGCTCCCCGCTCTGGCTCTGGTGAATTCTCTCACCCTCCCGCGCTTCTGACTGTACCCAGTGCTTGTATAAATAAATTAATTAATTAATTTAAAAAAAGTCATTAAAAAAAAATAGAAATAGATGTTAGAAATAGGGAGTAGCCTTTCCTTATTGGCAGATCTTCATGGGAAGTCAAACCTTATTCAGAATATTCCTTGGCGAAGGTGTAATCTTGGGAAGGATATGGTTCTATAATGTAAACCATTACTGGTACTAGATGAAGACCAGTGCTCCATCTCCACAATCAGAAAACCTGGCCATTGGGATCATAATAAAAGTTGAAATCATCCCTGCTTCAGCACTCATCAGCTTGCCTTCTAATTGACATATTATTTCTATAGTTAAGTTGATTTTTGTTATTTCTTTTAGTAAAAACCTTGTCTGAGTAGTTTTCCAAGTCTGATATTCATTCTTTTTCTTCATGGGGTGACTTTGTAATACTGATCTTACCTTTTACCATAAAATATATTGTCTTATGATTTAATAATCAAAGGATGACCTTATTCTTTTATGTTTGGGAAATGACTTACAATTTTCATGTAATGTCTGTATACATGTCTAGTTGGAAAAACAGCAGACATGAAAATACCTGTAAAAATTAACAGTACCAGTCAGTTTACATGGAAACATTGAATATATTGAATATCAAATCTTGTCTAACAAAGGAGAAAGACATTTGAGAGCCATCATTTGATCTGATTCTTATACAGCAGGAAACCAGTCCAGTGGCCATCCATCTATTTATGATAATATCCAGACTTCCTACTCATTCATTCTGCTTTCCTATTATGCCATGCTACTTTTGCAGAGGAATTAGAGCCACTGAGTCTGGCTTCACTGAGCCAGACTCTGAATTAATAAGATTTAAATAGACTGAAATGAGGTCTGTGTGTATGTGTATAATCATAGGTATTAGAAGCATTGTGAGCAACAATATGCTAATTCAAGCTTCGTAAGTTTTAGGAGAATTTTGTCTTATTTAATCCTTCCCACACTGTATGGTGTAGTGACTTGTTAACTCCATTGTACACATGAGGAGACTGAGATGAGAGTTGTCAGAGTCACAGTTCATAAGTAGGAACTCTAGGATTCAAACCCAGGCCTTGTGACTCAAAAGCTTACATTCTTTGTTTAATTCTCACAGAAACCTGTCAGGTAGGGATTTTTATTAACCCTTCTTAACAGGTTAGGAAATTTAAGCTTAGAGAGATTAAGAAACTTTTATCACTATATATAAGCTAACTCCTAGACTTCTGCTAACTATAGCAGAATGAATATAGAATTTCTGTCACTTGACTGAAAAGCCAAGCAAAGGGGTAATACAGATGAACAAAGAGAATTGGAGCAGAGATGATAGATAAATGAAGCCAGCAGAACTTTGGAATATAGAAGAAACCCAGTGGACAAGTGGTAATTGACTCAGCAGAATCCACATAGCTGAATCCTAATGTCAAGTTGCTGGAGGAACAAAAAGCATTTGCCTGTAGAGCCTAGTAAATACTTGAGAATTGGAGTCTGAGCTACTTCTACAGGCAGAGAGTAAGTAATATGAAGCTGGAAGCTGAAGAATTGTTAGAAAGCAGAAAGAAACATTAGCTACAGTCACCCACCCTGCCACATCTCTACCCCACCCCACCCAAGCTAGCCCAGGCAGGCAACTGGTTTTTCACCATCTCTAAAGATGAGAGCTTTACGTTTTGGAGAGGCTGAACCACAAAAACTGGCTGCTTTGTATAACTGAGGATGGGACTAAGGTGCCTTATTGAAAACTTGAGTGTCAAAACAAAGCCTGCATATTAAATAATGGGTCTCATCCCACAGTAGTCCCAGAATGTGTGCAGTCAGACATAAACTTTCTAAGGAGATTCAGAGGAGTCTGGTCTGGGGACTGATGGTGAACGGTCACATTCCCTACTCAGTCAGTTTAAGTTGACATCCATCCGCCAACAAATCCTGCCCCTGCATACAGAGCTTCCAGTTAGGTTTTTACTCTCTTCATATTAACAGCCAGCCCAGGGATCTTTTGAGAAAGATCTCACAGAAAATGCAGAGCCCATAGGAAAAAAAATTCAGAGGAAATTGAAACAATGAAAGTCTAGAAGAAATGTTTTGTTTTTAATCCAATTGTAACTAAGAATAATAAAGAGCTCTTAGATATAATTTATAATCAAAAAGGTTAGAAGATAAAATTATAGTAGGACAGATAGTAAAACAAACAAAATAGATAAAAAGCAAGACAATTAGGATTTAATCAAGGAGGTCCACTATCTAACATGATTTTCAGAAACAGAAAAAAGAAAGGTGGACGTTCTCAAAGAATTATCAAAGGAAAAACTTCCAGAACTGAAGGATATGCATTTCTCTAATGAAAAGGACCAACATAATATAATAAAAAGACTATGGCGGCGAATCATTATAAAATTGCAAACCACTGGGGATAAAGAAAATTCCCAGAACATCTGGATCTGAAGCAGGGAAGGGAAAGTGGGACCCTAGGTACAGGCATGAAGTGCATGGGACTTTTTGAGGAGTGGTTTTTGACCTAGACTTCTATGAGCGCCATCAAGCTTTCATTCAAGCATGAGAGTAGAATAAACTTAATTTGATATATGCCAGGTTTCAGGCTGTTTCCTGTCTTACATCCTTTCTCTAGAAGTTATTTAAGGAGGAAACCAAGAAAAGGGTAAATGGAGAGCCCAGTTAAGAAGAACTCCAATAAGAGAAAAGTACAGAGAATCCCACGGTGAAGGGGGAATCCATCTGCGTACCCAT